CTTTTTAAAGACCGCCTAGAGACAGGAGTTAAAAATAAAAATGTGCTTTTGTGTGAATTTCCACTTGCCGTGTTAGCTGTTATACCTAATTAAATTATCGTATTTCTTAGTGAAATAGACAACATTTTGCCCTATTAACTAATATAATCGGATATCATCGATACGATATAAATGATTTTGTTTAAACGATTATTTTATTAACAAATCGATTATGGATATTGTTTTAAAATTTTAAGAACCAGAGGTGTGTAAAATTAATTTTAAGCTCGCCTAGTTTCTTTGATTGCCGGATCAGCTGGATCAGCTTTAAAATCACCAAAATCATTAAAACCTAAAAAAAAAGAGAACTAAGAGAACAGCCCGTATTTTTTAAAAAAAGTTTTAAAAATCAAATTATTCACCAGTATGTACCTAAATATCAGTATCAGAAATCCCATAAACTCACTTATCTATATTTTATTGTTAATTGTTCATTATTGAGACTACGAAATCCAAAATCCAAAGTTTCTATTGAACTCTTAGCCTTATAAAAAATAGCACAAGCCAAAATTAGAGCATATCGGTGAATTAAAACAGTGAAAATTCGTTTTAAGCTTGTACTAAGTTGAATTAATGTTGTTTTACCAATAGAAAAACCAAAAAGTATAATTTAGGTACTTTAGATCAGTTGAGATGGGGGTGGCCATAATGTCCCAAACGTTTTTTTGATAATTAACAGCCACAACTGTCTCTACCAGCATGTCATAAATTGCTTGTGAACAAGAAATGTATAATACGAGAGAATAAATTCTGGTTGGTAATTAGATTAGTAGCAATGGATGACTTCACTGCCTGTGAAACTTATTTAGTACACAGAGGGGTTGAATTTAGGCTACTAAAACTAAAAATTATGAGCTTTTTAGAATAAATCAATCGATATAATTTGACTCTTGCTATGTTTCCGGTCAGATGTTTTAAAATATCACGAATTTTACGCAAGATGCTGTTTTTGCCAAAATTTGTGACTGACAAAGATTATGCAACGGGCAACAGGAATAATGGAATTTTTATTTTTTCTCCCACCGATATAGCAATTTAAAATAGCATACCGCTTTTTTTGTTTTCTCCTAATTTTGTAAAAAAACTTTTGAAAAATTGAACGTTAATTATCGCTGCCGCGTGATTTTTCAATCGCGTAGAAGTATTGTTTTTAACCGTCCTTGAATTTGTCTGTTCTGAATTGGTGTACCGCAAAATGCAATTGCTGAAGCGAGACCCCCCCCTACACTTTTATTTTGCTTTAAAAATTAATCGGTGTTCAATAGATGTGGTCAGACTGAATCAAAATTACAATAAGCAATGTATTGCGGAATGTCGTGAACCAAATTTAACGACAGACTCAAAAAATATGAAAAATCATTCATATAAAGTTCTAAGGAGATATATAGAGGCCCGCCGATGTCGATAATACAGCAGCTTATGAAGCAACTACGAAAATTTTTTGAGACGGTCCATTCAACATGCGCATGCTTGACATTTAAGATCTCATTTTTAACCAGCAGCGGCAAAATTCATTTAGATCCAACTACGGCAAAGGAGTTAACTGTGTAGATATGGCCCAAAATACGTAAAAAAGTTTATATAAACTTATGTCTTAGAATGATTCATTTCAGAGATACAGGATATTCCGAAAAAAAAAAAACAGTGACTGAGTCAATTAATTTAAATAATAAAAAAGTGGTACGCCAATTAGTTTATATTTAGTTTAATTAGTTTATATTAGTATAGTAAGATACTAAGTTTTTTTTGAAATACGAAAAAAACGATTTTTTTCGCAATATTTTAACACCCTGTATCTCCAAAGCGAAGCATTTTGGGGCATTAATTTATATGAACTTTTCCACTTATTTTTATATGCTGAATATCTGTTGAAATTTCCTCATTATAATTCGGCCACAATGTGTGCTCCTCGCTATATCCAATATACTGGGTATACTTCAATGCGGGATTTATCAGACTTTCTAATAATATCGTTAAAGTTGTAACTTAATTTGAACATTTTCCGAGAACTCTTCAATTTTACGATTCGGCCTTGCAGCAAAATACGGAGCTTAAAGATCATTTCTAGGATGCCCATTTTAAACTTTTTTTCAAGAGCTTTCAAGATATGCCTCCCTCAATTAGCAAAATTAGAAATCACCCCCTTAAATATTGCCGCATCTTTTTTAAACACTTCGCATACGGATATTCGATATAAGCGACATAATTATGGTTCCTTTGATGCCGCATTTATATTTACATGTGGTTTGTATTTCACTAGAAATTATTATAAACGTATTATTTCTCGAGTAATTATGAACTTTAACATTAGAACTAGTTGCTATATTCAAATTAAATTCTAACCCTATACGTCAACTTTATTTATTCATCAGCTGCTTATTCTCAGGCTACTATCGATTCCATTGCTAAAAGTGGCATGCTTTTATTATCCAACCCGAACAACTGCTGAAACTTTGATGTCATGGGTATTAGGTAATAAATTAACTTTAAAATTTCCATTATACTTTTTTAAATCGCATCCTTTGCTGTGACCGTTACCGTGTCTCTAAGCCTCACACTAAAATTCAACTCTTTTATAAAATTACTTCAGCTGAACGTTTTTACAACTGCGCATTTGGCGTTCCATGGACCCAGAATGTTTTCCACACAACAATAATCAACAAAAATAGCATTTTTAATTTGCGATTTTTTTTACAGAATTGCGAGTAAAATATACGAATAAATAAACCTGATAACAATTTATTTAATAATATAAGCAGTAACTGTATAGATATATAAATGTATATATTTGTATATTTTTAGTAGGAAACTTGTTTAGTTAAACTTTTTGGGACAATCAGGCACTAGATAGAAGAGGTATTTCTTTAGATTCAGCCGTATTTTAAAACGGTAAAAGTTATGGTTGATTAAAATTTTGTTGGTCAGATTTTTCCATATTAATAAAATCGTTCACTTTGTTAATTGTAGCAGTGGGCCTTGTCATAGGTCTTCTATTCGGTCCAGCAGCCAAAACGGAATCTTCTTCCTCTGGTTCGCTGCTTTCTTCGTCATCTTCGTCTTCTTCGTATTCAATATCGTCAAAAGCTTCAGCGCGAATCGGATGCGGTGAGGGGGAACGTGGCGGTTTGGGAGGGGGATCTAGAGACTTTGAAGGCTCGGGAATTTGAGGTTGAGGAGGTTTTACCAGCGATGGGGGTGGCGGTGGCAAAACGGGCTCTGATTTTGGTTGCGGAGGCGGAGTTTTTGGAATTTGAGGGGAAGGCGTACGTGGAGTTATCAATTTCGATGGTTCAACTACCGGAATTTTTGACGGTTCGCTCTTTTTAGGCGGCAACGGGCATACAATGGCGGTTTCTTTTTGTAGTTCTGTGGGAGACTTCTTGTTACCAATTTTCTCCCAAATTGTGTTTCTTAAAATAAGAAAAAACAAAAAGCAAACATAAATATACATGCATAACAAAAACAAAATTCAATAAATTAAAAATACACCAAACAATAATAAATCAAGTGAAAACAATAAATTCTAAAGTTGTAGTTGTTTGTTTTTTTTTTAATCAGAACTCCGACTATTTTTAACATTTGTACAATGATACTTTAAAAACGAAACCCGCAACTTGCTGACGGCAAAATATAATGATCTGATTCGACTTACCTTACAAAATGTCAAAAATTGAATTTGGTTTTAGATTTTCGTAAATAATTTTTATAATAAGATATTTGAGACTCCCTAGTCTACATCTTATTGTTAAAAAAAAATAAATTCGTAATCTAAAACAGCTTTATTTAAATTAATATATAAAACAATATAATATATATCTAAATTTTTAAAAAATTGTAGCGAAAGCGTTTAATTTCATTGTTGTCGCAATGTCAAAATATACATTAACATAAATACTACACAAACACCACAATTTCAATTTGGCCACAAAAAATTATATAGGAGTGGGCAAATTATGACCAACTAGCATAGGGGCACATAAATTTTCCAAAAAATATACCAACAGAGGTAGTCCCGCAAGCGTAACCCCCAAAATAAACACACCTCACGGAAACTGGATAATCTATAAATACTTAAAGGATCGTTGACCCTATATCCCCTCAACTATTATGCATTTAACTAAATTTAAGTGAAATTTCAGCATTTTTTCTATTTTCCCATTGGTTTGAAATGTTCGCCGCTCGACATAAATAAAAGATCACGAGTTTTCCAAAAATAATTTCCGCATTTCCAGGGCCACGGCCGTTCCCAGGCTTTTAAATATATCTTTCCGATATTTTTATATGAACGTTGCTTTTCTACTGCTGTTGCGTAATAACGATGCTTAAAGTCTGACGATCACCACTAACTTAAATTTTAAATATATTGTGTTGCCTTTTGAGAATACCTATTTTATTAAAAGTGTCATCAAATCAACCCAAAACACAATTATTTAAAAAAGGTAGGGGGATAAAAGTAAACTTCAAGGGCGGGCTTTAGTCAATAAGGAACTTAAATTAATTGCAATGAATGAATAAATAAATAAAGAGTTACTTGGTAATTAAAATGTCTACTTTGGTCCTAATTACAAAACCTTAGTTTTTACATAATAACAGGAATTCTATTAGGTGTATCCTATTTTTAACTTTTACCATAGCTATCTAATTTCCGTCCAATGGTAGGCAACCAGCATATCTCGAGTTATAGAAGGACCTAAATTATGAATTGTTGATGATGGTATGTAGGAGCGTTTTTTATGCGTTGTATGACATGCATATTACGACTAAGAATTGCGAAAATTAAGCTTTAACTATTAATAATTAATAAAAATTATATGATTCACAGAATAAACAAACTGTGCAATATAAATAACACCTAATTCTATTTTTTGTTCTGTTATAAATTAAAGATATTGTTGCGGTGCCGATCTATAAATCATCTAAATCATTAGCGTAATATTAATTTAAAAATTCAATTTACTCACCGATATTCTTTGTAGGTCAAAATTGAGTACCACAAAGTGAACATTTTTTGCGACGATCTAAACGATCTTATTGGAATAAAAACGGACTGCTTGCAATAAAATTGCAATCTTAAACGCCAAATTTCTACCTGAAATATTATGAAAACAATGCGTTTTAATTATTTTTCTGATAGTTACTCACGAAGTTAAATTTATTTCATTACTATGTACTAAATAAAAATAACTTTTGCAAAATTAGTACGCACCGTTTTACTATCAAATTTTATTTTCTCACACAAACTGCTTCCACGAAATAACACATCCAAAATTCATCTAATTTGCCGAAATATGTCACTAGACTCACCAATCACCATAGACATACCCTGTTAACCCCTATAGTTTTCAGGATACAATCCTGTAAGATTATGAAATCTTCGATTTTGTTTTATGCAACACGCGTTACACTGGTGTAGTTGCGGTTGCGAATCTGTTGAATGGAATGAATAATAAATTTGTTAGAAAATTATTTCAAAAGGACAACAATTGTTTCGTGTTTGTGTCTGTATGTATTTTCCTTCTTAATATAAAAAACCTTAATTTGTTCATTTTCACATTTGAAAACGGTGCTGATTACTTCAGTGTTTCTGGTACGACGATAAGCTAACCAAAACTCTAATCCACTTTTCTGTTCTCTGTTCTTTAAGATAATGTGATTCTGACTCTGAAATGCATAGTAAAATTTTTTCCATTATTTTTTGTTCTTGCTTATTGGAGGAAAATGTGAACTATTTAAAGCACAACCATATGCTAAAAGTTTTCGTTAGCTCTTGCTTTCCAATATAAAAAGTTTTAATTACTCATATAATCAGAAACCACATTAAATCGTAGTTGTTTTTTTGGTCTGTGTACACTAATTGGCATCATTTTACAACTTTGTACTGTTTATTTCTCTGGGGGCCAAAAACTGTTTGCTGCTGTCAGAAGTTAAGCTGTTCTTTTTACAATATTTGTGGCGCACATGACTGTTTAAAACGTTTTTAATTTGTCAAATCGCCACAGAAAATAAATAATGTCACAGTTTCACAAAGTGGAAGTGAACAAAACGGTATGGGAAGTGCCTATTCGGTATCGAATGTTATCAGCTGTCGGATCTGGGGCATACGGACAAGTATGGTAAATTAACACCTACGTAAAAAATTATTTTTATAATGCATTTTTTTTTACCAATATTGAGTAAAATGATGCTTTTGACTAATCCAGTTAAACTACTTTTATTTAAATTTTTAGGTTACTATGTTCTAAAATAGACCTTGCTTTTTTTAGTTCTGCCGTGGATACCCAAACAAAGAAAAAAGTTGCGATAAAAAAATTAGCGCGTCCTTTTCAAACTGCAGTTCATGCAAAAAGAACTTACAGAGAACTTAAACTGTTGAAGCATATGAGACATGAAAATGTTATAGGATTGTTAGATGTGTTTTACCCCAAATATGACAACAGCCAGATTTATTTGGTAACCCACCTTATGGGAGCCGATTTAAATAATATAATACGTACCCAAAGGCTGACTGATGATCATGTTCAGTTCTTAGTTTACCAGATATTACGGGGCTTAAAATATATTCACTCTGCGGGAATTATACACAGGGATTTAAAGCCATCAAATATTGCGGTAAATGAAGACTGCGAGTTAAAAATATTGGATTTTGGCTTGGCTAGACCAACAGAAACTGAAATGACGGGTTATGTAGCCACAAGATGGTACAGAGCGCCTGAAATAATGCTCAATTGGATGCATTATAATCAAACTGTTGATATTTGGTCTGTTGGATGTATTATGGCCGAATTACTTACAGGAAAAACTTTATTTCCTGGCACAGATCGTATCCTTTTTTTTAAAGAGAAATTTTATGGAATTAATAAGTTAAGATTTTTAAAACATACTGAGGAATCACATAAATATTGATAGAAATGATTTTTGAAACATTCTTTTTCTCTATTTGAGTAACCTATTTAAAATAACATTTCCTGCAACTTTCAACTTCATTTGTTTATTAATAATGGCGAACTTATTTTTTTGCTTTTCCAAAAAGAAATCAAACTAGAAAATAAGGTTTCAATGATACCATTGGATGGTGGAGGAAAGTGCTGCTTATTCTAAAATCCTTTTTTTAAATTAAAATAGTAAAAAATGATTCCTGATTTTTTAACATTTTGATTTGTTTTTGAGTTTCTGGGGATGTACATACTTATTTTACACACACCATATAGTTAAAATATTTATGTGGTAAAGGAATTTTGTTGTTAATGCTATAAAGAATAATCCTTATGATAAAAGCAGATATCCACCAACTAAATTTAATAATGGAAATACTGGGAACCCCAAGTGAAGATTTTATGAGCCGAATAAATTCAGAAAGTGTAAGTCTTGAGAAATTGCGTGTTTTATCAATTTTCTGACCTAATACATTTATATGTTTGCTTTTTAGGCTAGAAATTACATAAACTCATTACCACCAATGCCTAAAAAAGACTTACAACAGTATTTCGTAGGAGCTAATCCAAGGGCGGTGGATTTATTAAGTCTAATGCTGGAAATTGATAGTGACAAGCGCATAACCGCAGAACAAGCATTAGCTCATTCATATTTGACAGCGTATGCCGATCCCAATGATGAACCCATTTCGGCCCCATTCGATCAAAGCGAAGATATAAATTTGCCCGTAGAGAAGTGGAAAGGTGAAACATGATTTAATTTTACTGCGAACCACAATAAATTTCCTTGTATTTTTGTTTCAGATTTAGTTTTAGAGGAAGTCAACTCCTTTGTATATATTCCTATGCCTAACGAAGATAGTCGCGAATAAGACTCAGTGGCTGGGACTAGATGTACATTATAGGTAGTAGGTAGTATATTTGAAATTCACCAATTCCAACAGGCCATTTGTAAATTTTGGTTTTTAATAACCAATTTTATTTTGACCGCTATACCAATGTTCGAGTTATTGTATAATTTCTGCTGTCTAACATGCCTAATTTGAGTGTACAGTGTGTACTATTTTTGATGGTTTTACCAAAGTATTTTCCTTATTAATGAAGCCAGCCCTTTTCAGCTTTCGAGACCTGAGATGCTTTTTTGTGTAATTAAAGATGGCACAAATAGGAATGTCATAATTCTCTCAGTTTTCGACACTCTTTGTACTTCACTTATCAAAAAGGTGTAGACTGGTCTGGGTAGTCAGTTTTCTTGTGGAACCCACAAATTTTGATATATAGACGAAACTTGTGTATGTATAATATATATCACAAATACAATGAGCTTTTATTTGCAATAAATACAAAGTGTACCATAAAAAAGCTAGTTTAGTTTATATATCAAAATTTGTGAGTTTCAAAGGAAAACTGACTACATTACTGGATCCAATGTAAACCAGTTTTCACTTTTTTGCTCAATTAACGCATAAACAAATTACAAGGGTGGTCTAAAAATGCAAAATTTTTAAAAAACCGCTGTATCTAAAATTATAAGATTGCTCTATATTTGATGGATTTATATCATAGAAAGTAGTATTGGGTCATGAAAATAGCTAAACGCGAGTTTTTGTCATATGGGACATACGCAGTAAAAACTAACAAAAATGGGACAAGCTGTACATTAGTATTAAATGTAGTATGGTATATGGTTTGGTATTGAGAATAGTATTATCCAAAACGTGGAATTTTTCCAAAAACATCTAGAGTCTCTGATTTTGAATATGATGTTTTGGTTAGTTTTGATTAGTTGCTGGCTTAAATAACACATCAAATGCTTAAAATGTTGGATATATATTACAAACTAGCCGGTAGTGAGCACAACACAAAGTTTCTATTTTTAATGACGAAAATGTCATGAAAAACATCCCTTAGGAATGAAGTCCTTTCTATTAAATGGCAGCAATATTTTTGTCAATATTTTAAAAAATACATATATGTATTATTTTTGAAACTGACGCAAGTAAACATTAAAAAAAGATCGTAAAATTTTAGTTATTCAGAATAAAGTTAGGGCTTGTGTTAATTGTAAGCCACCCGGTAGATTCATAGATAGTTTATTGTTAATTAATTGTTAATTGTTAATATTGAATCCGTACTATTAACTAACGGGTTGTGGCACAAGTTTTTATTTTTAATGACGAAAATGTAATGGAAAAACATCCCTTAGAAACTAAGCCTCTTTTTGCAATATAAGATATTCAATATCGACTATTTTAAATTTCATACTTTACTTGAATGGTTTTGGAGTTTTGCTTTATTTTTGAAAATGGTCTAAATTGTAATTAATTAATGTTTTTGTAACAAAATTTTTGTTATTAAAATAAAAAAGTTAATTGTGTTAATTGTGGGCCACCCGGTATATCCATATTTATGCTAAAATCGTTCGGCTAAATTAACATTAATTAATGATTGTTGTCAATTATGCTCTCCCTTATAAAGAAGACATCAAATTCCAGTGAGAACTGTGGTAGAAATTTTGATGCTAGAATATGAATCTTCATTTTATTCAAATTTCTGTATTGTGTATTGATTGTTTAAATTTTGTTATGTTAATTTGTTGTACTAATTTAATTGTAATATGCTATCCTACATCATCCTTGTAAGCAACTCAACGAATGTCCATGTCAATTCATGTGGCCTAAAGAATACAGAGTGAAACTATAGCAATATTTTACTTACCTTAGAGTAAATATTTAGTTTTGTATCCAATCTTTAAAGAAAATGTGTCCCAATAGGAAAAAAATTTAATTACATCTGAAAACCCTCCATATAAAACGTATAAAATGGTGTCCACTAAAATTAGCAACTCGGGAGTTCTTAATATGAAAAGAAATAGTTATTTCTTCATGCATTTCAGTTGTATTTTTATGTAGGGTGTTATATAAATATTTTCAATAACTTATTAGAAGCATAATATTTACTTATGTAACTACGCTGGGGCACGTTTTTAATGAGTTGGTAATCCACGTACTTTGTACTTTAGAGCAAGTTTGTTCGATAAATAGACATTACTTTGAGCAACTGAAGTGTAGGTGGAAAATTGTCTTTTTATTCTTCCATTCCCTTAAAAAGTTGGTGAAAAAAAAATATATTTTTGCCATCCAACCTCCATAACAAAACGAAAATCTAATCTCATTTGGAAATGCATTCACAATTAAACATCCCTTATATTGTTAGTTTCCTAGAGCTGTGGAGCATTTTACTTTGACTTTAATCATGGAATAAAAGGATTTTTCTCATTTTGTCCCTACCCATTCCTTTCGATTTCAGTTGTACTGTGTAAGATGCTTGTCGGGGTTCCCAATGGAAAGCATATATTTCGGTTGTAGAATGTAGTTCGTTATAAAAGTTCCAATATCCACGCGCAGATAAGACCACAAATAAGATTAATCTCTCCCCTGCTTTCCGTTTTCAGTTACAATGTGTTGGACGCTTATCGAGTTTCTCAATATAATGCATAAATGGCACCCCAAAGGTAGATCGTTTGTCTGTCGAGATGCTACTAACAACGCATAAATGGCATTACACAAGCAATGGGATTGTCATTACACGCAGCGGTGACGTTCCGATATCAATTTTGTATTTATAGTTTATTTCTAAAATTCGGAATAAATTCTAATATTATTGTATTTTTATATTGTATGATTGGTGTTTTATGGTTGTGTTATTGTACTCTTACTGTATTCACCATAATTCCGAATTAATTTATCTGCAATTAGCATTTTACGACTTTATAGCACTGAAAATTAAATTTGCAAATTAGAAATAGTTATCCAGGTCACCGTATGGGTACGTTAAGCATTTAAATAGAGTTGCGGTTGTTTAAGCTGTAGGAATTCCTTTTATCGATGCATCAAATCTTATTTGAAAATGGTTTTCCAGGCTAGCGTATGGTGCCACTGTTTTTGTGATACCAGGTTTTTTTAGAGAGTACATTTTTTGACCCGAGTATTCTGTGGTTGGAAGATGAGCAGGGCAACGGATGTCGTATTGGTCAGGATCGGCGCAAATAATTCCCGCCAAAATAATGCTCGGGTTGTTCGTTTAATGTTATCCTTTTTCTAGTGATTAGCGTAAACAACATTGCTTAAAAATCGAATTCGTAAGTTATGGAGTAATCTTTTTTAAATCCCATTCGTCCATTAAAGTTTCATTCTATTCTCATTGCAAATGAAAGTTTGTTATATGTTAAAAAATGGTGCCACACCGTTAGGTAGTTTAGACCCTCCTTTAAAGTTTATTAAGCTGGGTTATAGTTGTTTTGGTCAATGTCCAATGATATTAAACCTCCAAAGCTATTGAAAATGAAGACAATATAAAAATCATTGATCTTGGAGGGATGGTTTAGGGGCTCAAAAAAACAATCGTTATTTTTCTAAACATGTTTGACAGAACACCAGGTTGTAAAGTAAAAAATGTTAGAACCTAATAATAATTAGCTATGACAATGGATTGTACTGACCCATGCAAAAAACTTAAAATAATTTTAAAAGTGCCAAATTTGATGGACCAAGAGAGATGCTTTATGGTTATGTTTTACTAGGCAATTTACTTGTTTAGATATTCCTGATGAATTCATAAAAATTTGTTAAACAAAAGACACTAAATTCTATATCATTTTGCATATTTGTTTTGAAGAAGCACAAATAATCTAAGTCTATCAAATTTGACTCATCTTTTGCATAACAATTAACATTTAAATAATGAAAGGGATTATAGCTTTTCGTTTCGGATAATTCGTGAATTCCTTTTTATAATTCTTATGTTTGCCAAGAGCCCAAATGGTCATTTGGTATAATCCGGCCAGAGCAAATATTCCCGCTGAAAATATAGGTGATTAAGGCATAGCAAATGAGGGTTAAAAGTTTAAATACCTGGCAGACATGAAGTTAAAACGGTAAATCCTAACCAAGCTCCAAATTCATAAGTATAGTTAGGGCAAGAAACAAAATTAAACATTGCTGTTAATGGATTGTTGTTGGGGACAGGGATTCGCCTAACTGTAGTGCCTGGTGGACGCAAGTCTCTTAAGAGAAGATGGATTGATAAATTTCCTAATTCACAAACCTAAAATATTTAAAAAGCCAAAAATTTCAAAATTACAAAAATACTGTAGCCAAATACTCACCACAAATAATCCAAATCCTGAAATTTGCATTAAAATCGAAGGAGGTGTAAAGAGTGGATGATTAACGTGATAAGCAACATATAAGCAAAATCCCCAATAATACCCACAATTTTTGAATAGATTTCTGATTGGCATTGTTCCATGAGAAAAACGATGTATGAATAATGTTTCGACAAGTCTTTTTAAATAATGGACACTCCAGCAAAATAAAGCAATTCTAAAAAAGAATTTTTATAGCTTGCTTACTGTTTCTTTTAAACATAGATCAAATTACTTTGCAGTTGGAGACAATGTGGAATGTTGAGCTAGTTCACCATAGAATATCCATGGGCGCAAAGAGACAAGTCCATACAAAATAAAAGGTCCTGCATATTCTAACAAAAATACAGTTTTCCAACCTATTTGAGGGCCCAAGTCTTTCACAAAAATTTTTTTAGTATTTTGTAAAGTTTCAATTACGTTATCATCTCTTATATCTTTTCCTTTTGCTTCCGACCGTATAGATTGTCTGTCGATATATAATTTAGGACAAATTTTCGCAATTTCCTTCTTAATTTCCTTGACTTTAGCATCGTCCGAGACTGAAATTTCTCCCAACTTTTTGTTACTTGTACTAAAAACTTCTATCTGTAATATAAAAATACTTCATTTACATAGGCAAAAGCTTTTCTTGCCAGACATAAAAATATAATTGTTAGTTTAAGTTTAAAATTTTCCAGATTAACCCCATTCAGGAAAACTTAATTTTACTTCAAAATCATATAATAAAAAAGATATTTGGGTACTTACATGGACCATGGCTATTGGGAATATATAATATCTGACCCCCAAGTCAGAAAAATTTTAAGCAACTCTGAAAGAAAATTATCGTTTTTTAATAAAAAAAATTATAATAACGTTCGTGCCAACGAGGTTAATAAGTTCTACCTATGCATTCCAATAATGGTTTTTTCGTAAACATTATGTACAGTAATTATTGGACCTTGACCTATAGTTCATTTATACCTCATTAATGCGTTACGTGTCATTCAGTTTCCTTCTAAGCGTTTAATATAACTACTTAATGGAACTAACCAGAAGAGAGCAACGTAATGATGATTATTTAACATTTATTAGGTCGGTTATTGTAGAAAAATATCAGTTTTTAGCAAAATACAAAGTTGGGTACAATTAGAAACCCGCCCTACTCAGTGTAATGGGTAGAATCCAATGAATTATACCTACGCTAGTTATAATTCTCTGGTACTTTCATAGTGACGTCAATTAATTAGCAATATGTTTTTATTTTTTTAGTTTTTAAAGGCCAAAGTTTAACAACTCTCAAATAGTGATGAAATACAATACAGAAAACTGATTTTGCATTTAAAATCTCTAGAACATTGGTTTATCTATGGGCAGTCCAGAAAATTAAGAATATCCATGGTTTAGACCACCACGGATATTCGCAATTTGGAACGGCCTGGCTAGCCAAGGTTCATTGGTTAATTTATTTTTTAAAACTATATTTTTTTATGGCTAGTGAGAATTAGGTTCTGAAGTTTTTTTCTCGTTTCGTTTTAAAACTATTTATGCTTTGGTTAATTGAAGGAATGCCACTTTGAATTTGATGTTTAATTTGTCACTGTCAACATGGCGGAGAGAAGCGCAGACGGTGAAACGGAGAGATGCTGTGTACAGTAAGTACTTTCGCCCTCTGTGGAAAATATTCGCCAAAAACTGCCGTATTTCGCTCCATTTTTCATGTGTTTTGACGCAAATATTCGGAAAATTAGGGTAGAGTAACCTTGTTTGAATAATATGTTGCAGTTTTATTTGGGTTTCGTTTTAAGGAAAAGCGCAAGAGTGACACAGTTATTGCCCTATTTTCTAACTATTTGCTTGTCGTGGCCACATACGTAAATGTTTAGGCGTATCTGGAAAATCAGCCATTCGTTTGATCATTTTACAACCACCTATTGTGCATTTGCTGGTTACAGTGTATTACATTGGATGGCAGTTTTAATTAATTGTGTTTTAATTCATTTTGTAATTTTTTAGATTCTATAACCATGATACATGTGATCGCGGAGATCGATGCCCTTATAAACACAAAGCCAAATTTGAAGTTGAGCCAGTAGGATTTATTCACGGAAAGGACTTCTTTCTGGGTCAAAATATCTCCACTACTTGCCGGTTCTTTCGTATGGGAAATTGTCCACAGCAAAATTTTTGTCAGTTTCGTCATGATAGACCCAACAATATTTTGAAGAGCACCATACAGAGGACAAATCCTAAAAAACGGACAGTGTTTACCCCTCTTTCATTCACAAGGTGTGTAATAACTTATTTCTTTCTTTATTTAAATTACTTTTGCGTTGTTTTAATTGTAGCACAAATATGCCTTCAACATCGACACAACCCAGCTTCAGTGTAGCTCGACAATCTTCTTCTGCGTAAGTTTTGACTTTTAATGATGATAACACTTACATTTTAGTAACGTGTATTTAGGGAATTAAGTGGCGGGTTTACGGGCCGACCTACCACAGTTGTAAGTTCCACAGGGATGAGAGGAGAGACACCAACTGTCTCCTCTGCAAACCACCCAAGTGCAAGTCGAAGCTGGGCAGATGCTCCAGAATTTATTCCAAGTTGGGAATGGACTCCAAGCAGGCCGCAAGCACAAAGCGCCCCATCACAAGAAGGGGCACCAACACCACCTTCAAATGTTCCATACCCAGAAATGTCTCAATTTACTTCAAGCTTGGGACAGCCAAATTTGTTTAATATTGGCATACCTCTAAACCCACTGAGTCAGCAGAATCTAAGTTACTCTCAGGCTGCTAATTCTGGTCGAGACGAAGGAGCTGGTGATTTTGCTAGGCCAGAATCTAACATAATGTGTCCATATACAACTAGAACTGGTATTTGTATGAATCTTACTCTCTGTCCGTATCGCCATCCTGAGTTATGCGACATGTGCGGTCTTCATACTCTGAATCCGTTCGATGAAGAAGAACGTAGAAGACATCAACAAGTAAGTCCGGACGATCCAAGATGGAACATCCCGTGTTTCCAAATTTTCCACTTCCCGGATCCCCTTGCGAAATGGCGTAACTGTCTTTTGGCTAGAGCTCAGCTTCATGCTATGCACAATAACATTCCTTTTGAATTTTAACCCAGACTTTTATATGTTGTCCTCATGTGTGTTTATAGTTTTCTGCACCCCATTTTACTTAGTTCATGTCTGTTTGGTGGTGGAGGCTCATTTTAATTTTTAACTCATGCTTTCAAATTTGATTCTCACATATTATAATATTTAATGCTATGTGGTTATAATTTTGTTAATAAATGTTTGCACGTTACTTGGTTGCTTTCATATATTTTTGGTTGTGGAGGTTAGCTGAAGATTCGGTGTCCTGTATGATTTATCCAGTAGTTGGATGCATGTGAGTAGACCAGAATTTATTATTATAATTAATGCAGTTTTGCCTCAATATTGAGTGGATCCAAATTTGTAGGAATGTTTGAAGCAACACGAGAAGAATATGGAGCTCTCCTTTGCTATTGCACGGTCCAAAGAAAAATCCTGCGGCGTGTGTTTCGAAGTGATTATGGAAAAAGCTAATGGGGAACAGAGGTTCGGGATTCTACCTAACTGCAATCATTGTTTCTGCTTAAGTTGTATTAGGAAATGGAGGCAAGTTCGCCAGTTTGAGAATAAAATTATAAGGTTTGTATAGTTGAAGATACAGATACAGATTCATTAATGGATGGCCCCACTCTAGGGCTGTGTTCAGCTTAAAGTCAGAATAGTTCATACCATTTATTTATTTATTTTATCTCTTTCAACATTATATTTTTTTGTTGCAAAAATATTACACTTATGTATCATTCCATTGAGTAATGCTATTGACAAAGACTGATTAGGAACTCTAGATACATTGTTATTGAGGATTCTTTTAGGAATATTAAGCTTTATTAGAATATATTTACTTTAAATATTTCCAAAAGTAACTTTTATGGATAAAGGAAAATAAATATATTAGTTTCGAAAAAATTCTAACTGGATTTGTTTTTGAGATATAGGTGAAACACAAAATTTTACCGTATTAGTTATCCTTTGTATTTTGAACATTCTGCATCACAATGAGATAACGAAAACACCTTCTTTTCGCGTAGATTCCAGTGGCGGGCGCAGATTTTTTGTGAAATATATAATTTTTAAGGTATGGACCAAAATTGCTTTTTAAAAGCTGATTGCACTTTTTATAAGCTTTTCTTTATTAGAGATTTGAAATAAACACATGTTTTGACATTTTAGAAAATATCTTTCTATTCTATTCTAATTTGATTCCAGTTAACATATTAGTATCGCTGTATTATTATAATAAAAAAAAGCTACCACAAAATACAAATATCAGTAAATATTTTCCATGGATACAAATCGTTAAAAAAAATTAGAATTGGCTGTGAAAATGTTGGGTGTATCTTTAATTAGCAAGCAATATAGCATGAACTAATATAATTTGGAATATTAAAAAAAATGTATTGCTATAATTTTTGGTAATCAAATAAAAAAGTGTAAATATTTTTCCTAATTTTTAGAAATACCCCCTACATATTGTCCATTTTTAGAAAAACTCCATTGAATTGAATATACATGGTGTTTCATTTAAAATATAAATGTATATTTGGCTTGTATCTCAGAAGTAATAATAAAAAAATCTGAGAACACCATTGAATTCTGGATTTTAAGTTTTATTAATTGTTTACTAGTGGAAATCGGTTTGAGCAGTTTTTTAAAGTTTACGATTAGTTTTTTTCTTATACAATAATAATTATACTCAATGTTTATTGAGCACATTACATACGTCAGTACATTTAAGGTCACAACAGGCAACCCAAATTTCAGAAATATAAAAAATATAAATATGTAATAAAATATAAATTTTGCAGACTACTTATTTATTGGTAAAAATTCCACATAAATAGCAAGTACGTAAATAGGAAGTGAGCAATATTTATGAACCCCTCTTTTTCTTAAGTGGCCTATACACATGCAGGCAAGTGTTAAGACTTGCCTGTACAGGTCGAAACATGCGAGTAAGCGCGGCTCGAAGCGAATCAGATTGTGTCTGATTTTTAGAGCAAGTGCGAAGGCCAACTTCATCAACTGGTGAACTGGTGAACCTCAAGGTTTACCTGAATAGTGTGTGGCCGCAATTCGTTTCGTACTTGCTCGCGGACTTACCTGGACACACTTGCGCGCGGACTTGCCTGCATGTGTATAGCCCCCATTATATTGATTTTGCTAAAGAGTTATATAAAATTAATATATTAACTGGAATAAACAAGTCCATTTTCTATAAGATATAAATACATGTTTATTAAAAAAATTTATATTGACCCCAGTAAACATTTTTGAATAATTTTGTTGTTATTTAAATGGCACCGCATTAATTTGCAGAGCATGCCCAGAATGTCGGGTAACTTCGGACTTCGTGTGTCCAAGCATGTACTGGGTGGATACGAAGGAAGACAAGGACAAATTGATCGATGAATATAAGAAAGCTTTGTCTAGAAAAGACTGTAAATATTTTAAGAAGGGGGAAGGGAAGTGTCCTTTTGGAAATAAGTGTTTTTATCTCCATGCAGCCCCCGATGGCAAGAAAGTAGACGTCGGTCCGCCCCCTCGACAAAGACGACATCGACATGTCGACGCAGATATGGAGGTACTACAGGTAATGCCTTTTATATTGCTCCCTTCTGAATGTTGCTGTCTGAATAAAATATAAATATAAAATAAATTTTCTTGGAAATCCAGGAAGGTAATTTTTGTTTTTGTTTTCTTTATTTAATAACTTGTGCAGGGTTTTCCGTAATAGATGCGCCAAATAGCAGTCCTAGAATAAATTTATAAAAATAATGATCCAAATTTCTGTTATCAATACAATAATCCTATTGTTCTTACTTTCGCGAAACCCGTGAAATGCACAGAAAACGTAAAAAAAAGTTTTTTCTCTGCAACAAATTCTCGTGATTTTTTTTAAAGTGAGTTTTTCGAGCTAGGGGGTTTAAATTTTCCTTCCTCCGTTCTAATACTAGACTATGAACAAAGACTTTCAAAATATCAGGGAGATCCTACATCGGTGGCCATTTTGTTGGTTGTTATTAGTTTTTGCGCTTAAAGTCACTATGAAACAACCTAACAGTCTGACATTTTGAGCTATCGAGTTGAAGTTTCGCAGAAAAATAAAATCGGAATAAAATTTTCTTTCTGTACCGAAAAATTCGATTTTTTCGAAAACCATAAGGCTGATGGATGAAATTCTTTAGCCAGAAGATGCAAAAATATAGTTGACTCAAATATATAGGGTGTCGCGGTTATTAGTAAAAAACTGAAAATTGTTTTTTTTTTCGAAATAAATTATTGGCGGTAATCCGGTAATTAGCCGTCTGGTTTGAATGTCCTGTTGGGCCGCCTCGAGAGATACAATTTTCGCATTTACCGTTATCCTCTATTATACAGGGTCCGCGAAATACGGGCTAGATAGCTATTGGTCACGCAACTATCGTGGCGTATAGAACCAATTTGGGTTTAACTTAACATGTTGTTGTATAAAATGTGGTTGATATTATATTATTTTTTCTATTTTTCTATATTTCCTTGTGTCGGATGCTAGGTCTAGTGATCTTATGTCAGCATCCCTGCTTTGTGTGTTTTTACTTAATTCAATAAGATATTAGAAAAAATATCTCAACCCCAGTTTGAGCTAAACTTGAACATGGATGAGCGACATTTTACTAAGTCATATAATATTTTCTCGAGTTTAATCTAGGATTGCTTTTTGACCCACTCTGTCTTTTCACTTCTCTCGTTGTATATTCTTGCTATCCAACCCGTTTTTTTTTTTATGGGAACGTTACGGAAGGTACTTTTGTAGGTAATGCTTTGGGATTTCCTAGATGAAAGGGATTTTCCTTGGCAGTCTTTAGCGGACGAACTGGAGGATCTTGCATCGTTTTTTTCCGATTCGGATGAATCGGTGCACTGGTCAGATGGAGAATATAATTATTCTCTTGATTTCGAATAGCCATTTCATATTTACATGTCTCATTTTTTTTAAATTCTTATTTGTTAGATTGTATGTAGTTATTTTCCGTATATGTTTCAACCTCTCTAACACATTTGCCCGCAGGGCAAAGAGTGTCTAAATCATAATTTTTATTGTATTTTTAACGTTACTTTAAACCTTGCAGTGGTTATTATATAATACCTCACAATTTACGTTATAGGAGTAGAAATTTTGAATGAAAAAAAAAACAGTGATGAAAGATGTTTTCTCAAAAGTTTAATTAAAATTAGTTCTAAGAGATATAAAAATAATCTGTTTGTTAGTATTGTTTCAAAGCTTTATTGTTGCCTATTGCCTATTTTATTCTAAGCAATGATATTTCATCAGGTTACATTTATATCAGATTTATTTCTTAAGGTGATATTTATTTTCTAGTTCTATTTAGGATCAAATATATACGTGTGATATTTTGCTTAGCAACTTAAGTAACTACCAAATGCGTGCTAATAACTTTAAATTTGGAAATTAGTTTCGTATGTACTGAATAAAAATTTGAAATATGCGTGCACAATATTTTTAAAATGTAGCAGGGTACGCTAACGATAACTCTTTTACTTTTGCCTTAATGCCTAAACAGAATTAATTGATATTAAATGTTGGAATTTTTAAAGTGAACTATGTATTAATTTTCCATTTAGAAATTCAATCAGAATCCCTTTTGAAATATAATAAATATTATACCAAAACATGCTGATCCTTGATTCCTTAGACGATTTTAAGAAAAAAAGTTTATATCAATGAAGTTTCGCATTCGCTTAATTTTTGATATACAGGGTGTTGAAAATAAATTTTTTAAAAACGGGTCCTCACTTCCATTTAAACTGCTTTAGATATTGTTTGTTTAGAACTGGCCCATAATCCATAGCTTCTTGGTAAAAATGCCCTCTTGACTGTGCCTAGTCATGGTTCCTAAAAAAATATGCCTATCACCTAATCCAAAATAGCCAAAAAATATATCAAGGTATAACTAACAACTAAATAATTTTTAAATGAAATCTAGAAAAAAAAAATTGCTGTACGTGAGATTGTAACCCAAGCCTGGAGCATTCCATAGTAATAATCATTTATGATTATTTAACTTTTAAATTTTTATTGTTTTTTAATGTTTTGCAGTAGCGTACCATTTTTTTTTAATACAAATATTCAGTATCATGCTGACACTTACGCCAGTGACGACAGTAGAAATATAATTTGTATTAGAAAAAAATGGTTCCATGCTTTGCGAAATTCTAACAAACAATCAATAAAATATCTAAAGCTGATTCAACTCCCTGTATATAAAAACAAAGTCATTGTTATAAACTTTTTTTCTTTAAATTATTCACGGAATCACTCCCTTAAGAGTATTTTACTATGAAACACTTTGTATATTTCCACTGCTATTTTTTCTGTTCCACATGTAACATCTTGATACAAAAATATTGGTTCCTTTTCCCTTGTTCCCAACCAGAATTTTATTTTTTATTTAAATTAGTTTTTTTCTAGTTTTTATTTTAAATATCCGGAAAAGTTGCGAAACTGCTTTCTATAACAAAACTATATCCTAGAGCGAAAGGAGTTTGTGTTCGGGTGTTAATTTTTTTAAGTGTTAGTGATTTCCATTGAAAATTGAAAACTCAAATTTGACGAACCAGATAAATAAACACTTTGGAAATGTATTTTTGTTTATTATTCTTCAAAAATTGTAACAACACAATTTTTTTTGTTGGAATTGGAAATAAGCATTTGAAATAAAAACTTGTTGATTACAGTGCGATCTCTTTAATCCAAACAGTTCGGATTACCCAGTATAACATTGCAGAATGTCCCACTTAGCGATCTAGGAAATGATAAAAGCAATATTTTGGATTTACGAGATTTTGCCCATTTTTTAGCTCTGTTTGCGAACAAATCGCAAAATAAATTGTAACCTGAAAATATGAGGTAACAAAGTTATAACTGGTCAAGTATCTCCATTCTTCCTGCGAATGCATGATATCTCATTTCGTTAACATTTATCATTTTCTATCGCATTCAGACAATCAAATTCACATATTTTTCTTATTATCCATTGACGTGAGTTTATAATCCAACTTTTCCGTTCGTTAGTAATAATCGGCAACCTCATTGTTCAAAATATCAAGGTATTGTAGATGAGTTTTTTTTCTCTTTATTTTTTTGATTGTTTTTTGAAGCAGCGTATTGGTAATACATAGAGCCAAATGCAAAGCATAGTAAGAGAAAAGGATTAAAAATAACTATAAATGTATTATAAAAAAAAGTTCAAACAAATGAAAAAAAAATCGTGCTTTTTACAAAACTTCTGGATTCCTCCTTCGTCGGTTTTTGCTTAGTCGAAATTGCTGCAATTTCGACTAAGCAACAACCGACGCAGGAGGAATCCAGAAGTTTTGTAAAAAGCATTATAGTAGCCTGTGGAAGTGTCTTTGATAAATTAAAAAAAGTCATTTTTGACATTTTCAAATCTGATGAGAATTAAGAAGACTACAGCTACAGACCTTCTGCTGTTAGCATTTTTGAATTTTACATGGTGGAAACCCCCCAGATTTTGAATTTTATCGTTCCAGTTTCAGCACAGAGAGTATAAAAAATAATTTGAGTTGAAATAGTTTTTTTTTTTCATTAAAATATAAATAAAGTGCTGTGCTTCTGTTACAAGCTACTGTAGTATTTTGAGTGTGACGCATTACTTTAAACCGCCATGGCAATACTTTAGTACTTGGACACAAATAATAGATGGCATTAGTAAGAGTATACGCGACTTTCCGCTCTATCTTATATTTTTTGCTTGAGCAGTTTTGGAGGTATTTAAGCGTTCCGCCACTCTATTTGACTGAAAAAACGGCTTTGCCGTAACTCAGTAATTAATAGAAACAACATTTTGACAATCGAAATGCACAATTTATTGCAACAAAGGTATATAGGGTATTTCATTTAAACTTACCAAATTATGACGTGTGACGTAAAAGTGGTAACTCTGACAACATTGCTGTTAGCATTTTTGTATTCAGCATTATATTCAGCATCCGGTAGATAGGGATTATGGGACAAAATAAAGAAAATATCTCAATAATGTATAATAAATTAATAATAAAATAAAAACAAAATAAATCTCAATGTTACAAAAAAATACTTATTAAAAAATAAAAATCTTTGCATGGTCAGTATAGATCTAAATTATTATGGGGTATGTAACATAGTTTGTACAATAGTCGTCAATTTAAAAGTACTGTCAGAAATTATCCAATGCTCAAGTGTCGTATGTTATATGCGTTTAGGGTTAAAAAAATGATTACCTACTGCTCTACGATTTTTTTTTGTCAATATTAGTAAAATTGGTGCAACCTTGAAAACTTTGGTAAATAGGTACACTAGTAACTATGGGGAGTTCAGACCTAACTTGACATCCATGACGAAATTTGCTTAAAACTAACGAATACTTTTACGAGTATAAAAATATTAATAGTAGGGGTTTAATTAGCAACATTTTAAAAATTCTTTTTTAAAAAGAAAATTACACATTTCGGTCACTAAACGTTTCAAATGGGCGGAGTTTAATAGTTAATACATAAATAACAATATTGTTTCGATCGACCCTGTTGTCAACTAAATCACCAAGCTTGTAGTACAAAACTACTTTGTAGAATGAAGTAAATGCATGTTAGTACTGCGTTTGACAAAAACTTCTGAACGTTTCGAATTCGTTTGAGAAATAAGTCTACATCCACAAAAATTCCTGGACTTTTTTTTATGTTCACCCGACTGCGTGGTTCGTCGATAAAGCCATATATAGGAACAAAAATTATGATGTAAGACGTACCTTGCTCCCACTGATATCAAACTAGTGTATATTCTTGGTGAATAGATCTCAAAAATATAAACGCGAGCAATAGTAAAGTGGAACCCAACAGATCCCCCAGAGCTGTTAAGTACGGTATAGCCGAATTGTCCGGGTCCATTTTGTATCTCCACATGGTATGTACCATTAAATGCGCAATATATAAAAGTATCATTAATTGTACAAGGCTAACCGTCAAATACGAAAACACAAATGGAAATTGTGCCGTCAAATCACCATCATTTGAAATCAAATCTGCAGATAAGACGAATATGATTTGGCCTGGGATGGACATAAGTAACAAAATTCTTGCTGTCTTTGCGGGAAACACTGAAAGGAAAACAGCGAATTGTTAGCATTTATAAATTGAAAGAAGCTTGCTAGTCCTACCTCCTTTCAAAAGGGCGGTCCAAGGTGCCACCCACTGCTTCGTGTGTGGTGGTATGACGCCCTTAATGGAAGTTTTATGCAGCATGGTTGAGGTGCGACTCGCTTGAACGGACACCAAATTACCACCGATGCCGTTGATAATTGGTTGGAATGTTACGTAGCCTGGGAATTGTCCTACCGCAGTGTCCAGTACCAATCCGCCAGTACTAAATATTTATAAATGTAAACATGTTAATTGACTAAACACTACAGAGTAGTAGTGAAAAACTCACCCACTGATGAACAAAGCTGTCAAAACGGGGGTCCATCCTCTTGTAAGTACTTTTGAAGTGTAGTGGTTTTTTCTTACTATCAATATCCATCCAGGTAGAATTAAAAATATGTATACTCCCAGGATAACGAAAATTATCCATTGGTACGTATCTGGAATATAAATGAAGTCGTGATACAAAAAAATAGAAAATGAAGTTTGCCGTATTTATGTAATTCTGTCGAACAATTTTAGCAGCACCTAAAGGATACCAGAGCCCTTTCAACTATAAATAGCTATTTTAACCACCATCTTGTTAAAAAAAAAAAACATGGAAAGATAGAAAAAGAAAAACGGAAAGAAATACCCCCATTTTTCCTGGGATGAACGAAGTGACAGGTTGACCTTAGTGGTTAAAATTACATTCATGGTTGTAGTCTAGCAGTTGTGAAATTGGTTGCTGAGAACTGGAATAGTATAAGTGAGAAAAATATTATTCTCAATATGTTCAATATTCATTGAAAAATAGTTGAAACTTGTTCGATTATGATTGGAGGTGCACGATGGTAAACTCAGTTCTATCAGGGCACCAAAGAGAAATTCAGGGAAAGCTCTAAATCGATGGAAAAGGAAATGCTCCCAGTACCTGCTGATGATATAGACATTCACTTGGACAAATTAAAATCTGAAAATCGATAGAAAAAGAAATGCAGGGCTATGGCTATAGAATTAGATGGTCTGGTTATGTGCGTTACAATTTGCCAACGATCAAGATTATTTAGAATACATGGAAGAGTATATATAGTATTGTGTTCAGACGGTCGTTGCGAATATCTAGAAGAGAGAGGAGAGAATACGTAATGAAGAAGTTTGAGTACGTCTGGGAGTAGAAGGATCACTAACCAGTAATATGATATGGTCACTTGAGAGAAGATCAATGGGATGATGGTGATTGTGGAAGTTAGGCATCGGACAACATTGAAAGACGTTTTAAAAACCGATTATATATATAAATAAAAACGGTTAATTTCATTCCACCCATTTTGTTGAAAATAAATTTTAGTTTCGAAAAAACTCAATTTTTAACTCTAGACGAAGCTTGGGCAAATGATGAATATATCATTGGTAAAACATGCTAGAAAACAATGTAAAGTCCGTTATTATTTCTCTGGACTCCAACAATCACGTCTACTCAGAATATGACGAAAATTTACAGTTTAAATAGGAAATCGTGTTTAATGGTCCCTGCCATTGCAATAAGAAACTAGGTTTGTTTTAAAAAGGTCAACTATCAAATTCTATATGTTAAAAATCAGTTTTTTTTTCACACATGTTTATTATATGAACTTGAATTTGATTCCGTGGCCCCTAGCATTATGTAAAGCCCAGTGGAAGCACAACGATAATAATACAGGATGTTAAAAAAGTACGTTGTCAAATTTCAAATAAGTAATAATTATGATAAACACGTATATCATTGCCCTTTTTTTTCACTATCTTTTTTGTAATAATAATAGCCTTAAACTGCGACAGCTGCACTGATCAGTCAGTGGCGCAAAATTTTGAAACAGAAACTTTAAATCTACGTTCCAATTTTACTTACCATGAATTTTATAAAATAGCCGTGCCCAAGTAGACAACACTAAAAGAGACACGACATCACCGATACTGGCTGCTAAGGGTGTTGCCAAGTTATCTGGGTTGAGTTTGATTTTATGCGACAAGAAAATGACGCTGATTAGGACGAAATCTAAAAAACATTAAATGCGTTAAAATAACAAATAATTATTATATGCACTGGGAATGTCGTACCTAAAGTAAAGCAAGATAAAGTCGCAGTTAAAATGCTGCAAACTGTAATTAAAAACGAGTGAGGCCACGAAAAGTTTCCGTTTAGAATGGCGGATGTCACTATTGCAAAAATCGAGACGATCACTGAAGCGACTATTGCTTGTACCTAGAAATAGAATTTGTAAATTTTTGTATAACAAAAAAAAAACGATAATATTACCTGAACCAGACCGATGTTTCCAATTATCATTTTCAAAACTTCTTTTCGCCCTTTCATGTTGCCCAAATTCGCTTGCGTGGAAAGCCGCGAAGCTAAACACATATCCAGATTTCCCTTCAAGCCCAGCAAAGCCGGCACTAACACGTAAAGGGCCCGAACTTCTTTGAAGACATCATAATTCTGCAATGCAATGCCAGAAAAAACGTTTTTGACAAATCTGCTAATTGATTGAAAAATCAATGTTTATCTCAGTCGGAGTCAACCGTTTACGCTTTTTAAACCATTTACCTACTCGATGTTGTTTATTGACTCTGGATAACAAAATACTCCAAATCTAAACTCAAAATAAGTTGCTCAGCTTACTAGTTTTAACTGAAAAGTTAATTTTTGAAGCAGCTATCTTATCACAACAAGAGTCCATCGACTTTAAAAGTTCATGTTTTCCCTTTCGTGACAGCGATGTATTTGTAATTTGAAAGGCATACTTAACATTTGACGGATGTCGATTATGATGAGTTATTGCTTTACAGATACGTAATTTACTTACCTCCACTCTTCCAAGTACTATTCCAGCACCTATGGTACCGATGCCCGCTATCATGAATGGTATAAAAATTTGGATGGTTACAGAGTACCATTTCTCTTTCTTCACAAGTCTATCGCATTCGCTAGGGGTTGAAAGGACGGATTCGATTGATTTTTGCTTCTGAAGCGCTGAAAATAATTACCCCTTGAATCGAATCACGTACGATTTTTTTTTAAAAACCACTTACTGTTTGCAACTTCATTTTGTTTATAACCAAAGTCAGGCGAAAGACTCAAAATGATGGTAGTGGTAGTGGTAAGCTGTTCAGGATCTGCAATATATTTTTCGTCATCCATATCAGGGTATTTCTGGTCCTTCTCCTCAGTGGGCGTGTACAGCTCGTTTTTAACGTTCATTTCTGCAAACGAATTGTGTTTTTTTGTAACGAATTACAGCCACTTTCAATGACAGCCTTTGATAAGGAAATGTTTTCTGATATATAAACGTTTAAGTACTTTCGATGATATGCAATACCTATTATAAATGTATTTCATTTTGGTTAATGACGAATGTGGCAGCCACTTGAATTTTGAGGACACATGGTTCGAAATACGTCGCATATTCTTTGTAGAAATATACAAGATGAGCCAAAACGAAGTTCAAAAAGTTCCTAAGACGTCGTAGGTTTTTCCTGGATCTTAAAATAAACTGGTAGCCATCGGAAGCCCCTTTTTTTTTAAACAAACCAAACACACAAATTTCGTTTTCAAGTCGAATTTCAGCTCTCCACCCTTAAAATTTTAGACGCAGTTAGAGGTGGAGTGGTAGATAGCACATGTCAGATGAAAACTCTTGAAAATTTACAAAAATATCCCAAAACCCTTGTGTAATTTTTTTCCAAATTTTTAACGTTGTTTCGTTTCATGAATCAATTAATAGTTCAAAAAGGGACTTTAAAACGTTTCATAGAATTTGGAATACGCAAAAACAAATTTTGCATGGCATTAGATTTCTTTTTCATACTAAATCCACAAATTAATCACACAATTATTTTTCTTTAAAAATGTGATTTATTCCAGTAAAGCAATAGAGAAAATGTCCCCCGTTTATTTTTAGTAATTATGCCAATCAAAAGGCATTGAATTTTTAAAGAAGTAATTTAATGCTATTTACAAATCTTCTAAAATGTCAGCAACCGATTTAACAACAACCGAAGTTTCTTTGAAAAATTAAGTAGGTACTTTAATGGTGATTTTATTAAATATTTTTCATGCCAATAGCAATAGAGATAACCTTCAAAATCGTCGAAAGCTGTACACATCAGTGAGATAACGTATATCACCAAAGCGACATTATGAACATCAAGTTCTATTTTCCCAAATTTTTGATTTATTTGCATTTTTTTTTAAATAAAGAATTTGTGTAATTATAAATAATTGTTATGAACGCAAACATTTTTATTAAGAAACTAGGCAAAACTAATCAAGAATGTGCTTTCATTAATTTTACATTCTTTTGTTGAAAGTAAAAATTTCAATCTTGTTTTTTGATGTCTTACCTACGGTTTGGGCTGAATTCCACCTAAGATGTCACAGCTCAGTTTGGTGAAATGAATTTTGAGGGTCGTCAAAGTCTTCTTGGTAGAAATTGCCGTACGATTACATCCAGCAAAAAATGATCTGCTAATAAAAACATAGAATATGAATAGAAAATACTTAGCGTACTGACATTAGCATTTTGAAAAGTTTTATCTTTCGTCGAAATCGTTCAGAAATACTTTATGATTGATCATAATTATGAAACTTAAACTCCGTTTAATAATTAATGGCAATCCACACATGAGTACCTATATTGATATATTGATTCTGACGTCAGAATGACAGCAGAAATGGAATGTTTTTTCAAGGACTTGCTTTTTTAAAACGAACACGCAGAAAAATTTGTGATGTTTAAGTCAGAAATCTTATGGTACTTAAGGCTTCAAATTCACTCCATCTTCGTTCTCCTTAAAATAACTTCCTTTCTGATTAAGCTTTCAGTCTTCGTCATTTCTATAAAAATTAACTGCAAATAACAATAGTTTTCAAACGATATTTATTTTTTATTCACTGACTCATGACTCTTTGCCGTAATGTTTAATAACATTAGTTTTGGTAATAACAAAAGTCCATTTAGCTTTATCGAAATCGAAATATTATTAATATGCATATAATATATTTTTATTAATTGCACATCATTACTGCGTAAAATAAAATCTTTGATTTAAATTTGACTCGTTTAGTATTGATAAAATGTCAATCAAGTTGTATACTATTGTATACTATGGGTTTCAGAGGTAGCTTCTTGCTTACTTAAAGGATAGACCTCAGTATGTTATATTAGGTAAAACAATTATTATGAATAATTATGGGATCCCACAAGTCTGTTACTGTTATCAGTTTAAGATGTGCCAATGTAATTATTATACTTTTACTGATTGGTATGAAAAATCAGTAAAGCAGGATTTAGAAATTTGTAATAATTTCTAGATGTTTAGCAAGAAAATAAACAAATGATGTTATAAATTTATAAAAATTAGCCTTGATCTCTTACCGACAAAACTAAATACTTATTTACTTTATTACGAAATAAATACTCAATTTTTTCAAATCGAAGCTTCTTGACTTTTTTAATTAAAACCCAGCAGGTATTCAGAACATGAAAGATTGTATCTATATAATTGTTACATTTAACAATTTTTGGTAGAATTAGACGTGATTTAAGGGAGCATGGTGTTTTAAAACATAAGATTTGACGCAATCAGAATCATAAATTATTACATAAAATGTGTAAATATTACAATTACATTGCGAATTTAAAAATAAATAAATGAAAACGTTGACTTTTTACTTTTTTTATATTTTATTTTTGTCCACCAAAAAAATAAATAATTATAGGAAAATTTTTAATTATTTTAGGACTTGATTTTTGACATAAAATTTTAGATTATTTATTATTAATATTATTATTATTATTATTTATTTATTATATGTCAAATAAGAAAGCTGGTATTTACCCCAGATGAACTGCACGCTCTGTATATAATAAAAATTAAAAACTGAAAAATATAGAACTACCCAAAATTATGCAGCTTTCTTTATCGTTCGTACCTATTGAGTTAATTGGGTAGGGACACCCTGTACATACACAATCGAAACATATTATTTTCTGGTGTTTTAAATAATATAATATAAAAATATAATTTTTGCAATTTTAAAACAATTCCGGATTATAACAACATATTTATAGAAGTTTATTTGAAAGTCTAAAATGGTATTTTTATTACGTCATCAAAACTAATCAACCAAGTTACAATGTTATTTTTCAAATGCAGAAATCATTATCCCGCATTCAGTAAGATATAGGAAATTTTTACGCCTTAAGCAGGCGTTATTTTTGAAACTCAATTCAGTTCAAGAAGTGAATTAACAAAATTATACGAAGATAAATTGCTTTTGATTGAGTTTTTAAGCTAACATTTTGATTTGCGTTTCTGTGAATAATACTAGTTCTTTTGAAACTTCAGACGGTACTTTAGTTTAGGTGATTTACAACCTATCAAAGCTCAATAAATATCGGAATCTTTGTTTTGACACAATAATGTTTGGGTTTGCGATAGACGTTACTATTAATAAAAAAGTATATATCAAATTTTTAATCCTATAAATCTACTTGCGCTATCGACGGTAAAATGTTACCGGCAACTTACTATATTCGAATTAAAAGGTTTTTAGAAATAATTGTTTGAAAAATAAAAACACACGGATAAATATGTATCTAGCAATTCGAACAAGGTCTTTAAATAATATATCAATAACAATAAACATTTATTTGTTGACTTAATTTGAAGCATCGTAGTTTTTCTAAATCACATACTCGAGTTTTTTTAGTCACGTTTGATGACATATCGGCGACATTGACAATGGATATCGTTGACAACGGTTTTATTAAGCCGACCGATTAAACACAAATGTCTGCAATTTGCGATTGTGACAAACAATTTCATAAAAATAAGTGCTTTTTGCGTTTTTCCTGGTGACTAGGAAATTTCAGTGACAAGCAGCTCCTCGCGATTTTTAATAGCAATAGCAAATTGTGGTTCCACGTTTTCACTAGAAGAATTCCGAATTAGTTGTATATCCTTGTGTTCTGTAACTGTTAATAAATGATTTGTTTTTTGTATGCAAGTTGATTATTTAGGCTTCTATATGGTAACCAAGAAAACAGCTATTTAGAAAAGTTGCCTGTTCAAACACAATGGCGTACAAAAACCTTAAAAAGCTAAAGGTTAAATGAAAACAAACTGTATTTGCTTTTTTGTTACATTCATGGTCTGTTCCTAATACAAAATTTCAATCAATATCGCATTTTTTCCCTCTCAATCTTTATGTGCTTTAGCGAATTTCCTTATGAAATTTAAATAATTCCGGTATTAACTTTTTTGTTCAATATACTTATTATATTAACTGCGGCAATATTAAACGAGTTTGCTTATAGCAACATACTGTCTGTTGATTCCAGAACCACGTAAAAAATATTTTAAAAATGCACCCACAAACATCAATGCACGCGAGTGCTAATTTTGACGATATAATTACATGAATTACATTAAATTCTATATGAAATTAAAAAGTGCGGTTCCGGTGTCTAATTTAATGTAAAATGTCATTTGGCATTGTTTTTGCAAAAATCGTGGGTTTAAATTATAACCTCCTTCCTTGTACCTGTCGAACAAATAATGACATCGCATTAAATTCGTCATCAGATAAATAACCATTCAATTATTTTATTTTCCTCATTAGTAGGAAGTTACGATTTTCCTTCAGCATTAATTTTCTTTTTCGTGTATTGCTATGACATTACCACATTGCATTGCATTTTTTTTATCTCTCCTTTGAACTGAAATATTATTATCCGATAAGTGATGCTAATAACTTATTTAACAGCACATATTGTCAACTCCACCAGGGACACAAGTTTGTCGTCTACATAGACATAGGTGTCTTTAGTAGCAATAAGATCACTAAAAGAACTTGTTGCCTTATTTTAATTGGCACCCATTTGCCAAAGTCCCGAAAAAGGTCTGAATTATGAAATTGATTTTGTCATTATTAGAATATTATGAACACGAGGAAAGAAAAATACAATGTTATGATTTTTTAAAAATAATGTTTTTAAAACCAAGATGTCGATAATTTCTTGAAAAATTTAAATAGTTTTCGAAGAATGTGGGAATCGCACAGCGAGTTTTGTCTCAATGCATTCGAATTTCTACAAGTGAAATTAAAATAAAAAACAAACTTTTTAGTATGATTTAAAATTTTGGTTTAATTATAACAATTATATGTTTGTATATGGGGGAAGATCAGGAATGATTGTTAGAAGTAAACATCGAACAAAAATTTCATTTCATTTCTGCGCTAATAAGGAAAACCAACAAAAAACACTGATAATGAGTGAAGTTGAAAATAGTCGCGTCATGTGACTGCTGGCGCCACCATTTTGAATATGTCATGGAAATAAAAATAAAAACAATTGAACTTCCCAATTTGCATAAACGCTATTGTGCTTTGTTTAATCGCGATGTTCAAGTATTTGTTTGCTGATAAAGTCATTCGGAGAAATTTTAAACTTTGTTTTACACTTGAAAATGCTCGATAAAACCGAAAATTTCGATTAAATCACGAATGTATTAACTTGATGCGTATCTAATTGAGCCATTGTTCAATTAAGCTGATATAATTTGGGAAATATTTTCGTCATTCGGAAGAAACATTCAACTTACCCACATCCGCCATTTCTAATGTTCGATAAACGTCACAACTACAATATCTAGCGAAAATATTGAAGGAAACTATAAGTTTAGCGATAAGTCCGTCATTTAAATTGCACCGGCATAGGCGGGTTAATCGACGTCTTTTTCAACAAAAAGACGTGAATTTTCCGTAATTGGGGTTCAAAATGATAAAACTAAACAACATTTTAATAAGACACCTAAATGAATACCAAAGATCAATACCAAAAGGTAAGATTTTTTGAAATTGCGGTGCTATATAATTTGTTATAAACCGATACACGCCTTTGACAAATGGTGGTGAATTACAATAATATTTTTTCGCAACCTATTTATGCAATTATGCGATTGTTCTATTCTGACGGAAACCATGCGATATAGAGGACTTCTCGGTGTTTTTCACTGTTAATTTACTTACTTAATCTGAAGTTTGATGATTAAAGATAAAAGATCATTAATAATTTTATTTAATTCTAGGAATTGGAAAATAGCACAAATAAAATATGTACTATTTTTTTAAATGTCTGGATAATAATGTTTTTACTCAATGCAGTATTTTAATAACTATTTAAAGTAAAACGTCCTTTCCATTTATTTTAATTGTAATCATATTTTCTTTAAAAAAATTTGAAAAATTCATTTTTTTTTACTCAAAAATAGAAGATATGCTCTTTTATTTTCCACACTCAATACCAAGAAGATAGTACTTTACGTCATATTCAAATAGTTCTAATAACAATTTCTTTTTGTTTTAGAGTAAATGTTAATCACATCACATTTTTGCTTCATTTAAGTTCAAGAAATTGTTGCATTCATAAATAGTTATGTAATTGTGTGGTGAAGTCGTTT